ATTCTTTGAAATGAAACTTTCCTTATCAGTAGTAATTGGCCAGTCGATATTATTACAGAAAGAATGTAATTCACTGGAAACTGTTTGTTTGTAATTAAGCACAAAGCTACACAATGTGCTATCTGTGCTCTGCCCACTACGGGTATCGAAACCCGGATTCTAGCGTTGTAAGTCCGCAGACATACCGCCGTGCCACTGAAAACCGTCGCAATATTAAAATATTGAGTTTTCGCTGTCATATTTAAGAAGTTTAATTTCTAATAAATTTTTTAAGCAACAAGAACAATAAAAAAAGGTTTGATAAGTACTAAGAGTACATGCATATTTTTTAAATTGTAGATTTTTCACCAACAAAATTAAATCGACATCTCTTTACAAATTCTGCTAAACTGAAATAAAAAAGTACAGATTTAAAAAGAAAACATTCTGTCCCTAGAAAATAAATCATACAAAGCACAAACCTCTTTCGCCTCCATTACACAAACCCATGTCACCTTCACGTTCCGGTTAACTAATAGCTGCAGTCGCTCGTGTAATTATGAATGGTACATGTCGAGACAATGGGCTGACAAAATTTTATATCTGTATGTATAGATATAAAATCTTAAACAAATAACATATAATAAATACCTGGAGACAAACAGTCGAGCTGCGATCGAATGCGTTATAACCTTGAACTGTAAACTATAGAAGCATGTGCACCAGCTTGATAAAGATTCGACTGATCAAGAGGATATACGGGATTTGACCACGTGCTTCATGAGTGCCCTTGAACCCTCTGAAATAAGATGAAAATATGGTTTGTGTCAATCTTTCTCCACTTTAGGTTATTATTATAAATCCAGGGCTCTAATGAACAATGATAATGCTCACAATTCCCTTAGAGACAGGAGTAGCTCTAACTAACGATATGTAAAGACTTTTATCACTACAACTAACCTACATTAATTAACGTAGGCATCAGAAGAAACAGCTGATACGCCTGCAGATATCTTCGCGCATTTTGCTTTTCCCCACCTCCCACTGAAATTCGATTCAAGTTATTAATGGGGCCCTCTTCAGTCTAACTTTCTACAGTAAATATATTAGCAATAATGTGTAGTTTGTGACTTAATGGACACTTCTGTAAGAAGAAAATAAAAAAAATCTGAATTATTTACACGCGTTATTTACACAGTGTGCTAATATGTTTCATACAACACAAATATAACATGTATTATTCACACAGTGGGCAAATGTGTTTTATACAGCGTAAAGATTTACACACATTTTTCACACTATTACACAAATAGTGTGGCGAGATGTATTAGGAGAGAACAGTAATATCGCCACCAATCAGAAAAACAACTTAAGCAATAGCGTAATTTCAAAGATATATGTAAACCACACAGTAGAAAGTCCTGACAATGAAAATTTTCTAAATACGTGCATGCACAATACACACACACACACAAAAAAGAGATAAACACAAGACGAGAAGTACACTTGGAGGAATATATGAAGAAGTAAAATCAGGATGAGCAAATAAATTCGGAGGAGTTTATGAAGAACTAAATACAGAAAGAGCAAGTATACTTGGTGGAGTATATGAAGAGTTAAAAAAATGATGATGAAAACTGGAGGAGTGTAGGATGAGATAAGAGTCACAACTGCGAGGGACTACCTTGAACAAGAAATTATACATGTCAAAAGTCATCTCAAAAAAAGTCCCAATCTAAATCCTATAGAACTCCTCTGGAAAGTCCCAATCTAAATCCTATAGAATACCTCTGGAAAGTCCCAATCTAAATCCTATAGAATACCTCTGGAAAGTCCAAATCTCAACCCTATAGAACATCTCTGGAATGTCCCAATCTAAATCATATAGAATACCTCTGGAAAGTCCCAATCTAAATCCTATAGAATACCTCTGGAAAGTCCCAATCTAAATCATATAGAATACCTCTGGAAAGTCCCAATCTCAACCCTATAGAACATCTCTGGAATGTCCCAATCTAAATCCTATAGAATACCTCTGGAAAGTCCCAATCTAAATCATATAGAATACCTCTGGAAAGTCCCAATCTAAATCATATAGAATACCTCTGGAAAGTCCCAATCTAAATCCATAAAACCCCTATGGAAATTCTATGTTTGTCACATGTCCATGCCTTTTTTAACATGCATTGCCCTATAGCTTAAAAGTATACTCTTTCATTCACTATATTAAGGTCAAATTATTAACCCTTTAATTTTTTGGAACACTTAAATCTTGAATATCGTTGCGATGATTATGAACAACCTAAATAATACTAATGTTCAAATATGGATACTCAACAGGACAATATATTCTTCAGTTAATCCCTTAAGATTATATCAACTAATATAAAGATTTTTGTACTGAAGTTACTCCCATGGGCTATATTTTAATTTTTAATTAGATATCATCATAGAAAGGGTTGGAAAATTTTTGATACTCATAAATCTATTAGTTTTACATCAACTGTCAGGAAGGTAATGGAATCCAAATTGATGATAATAAATGTGACGAAGATGATCAACAGATCAAAATGTCTTTCTTAATTCAACTTTTGCAATTAATTCAAAGCTTAAGTTTCCGTGAATATTTTCATAGTAAGGTGTGTTCATAAATGGTCCATTTTTAATCACTAGTGTAGGTTCTGCTTTGAATGTACATTAGTTAAATAATAACATCTATTAGGATGAAAAGTTGATATATTACATTATTTTTGCAATTATTGAAGTTCAGAAAGACTTCAAGTAGTACAACACTTTGCAGGGGAATTTCAAGAAGGGCAAGTCAAAGGTCACCCACTTACAAGAGATTAACAGGAGAGAAGCTTTCAATAACCACTAATGGTAACTTAAAACTGGTGAACACAAAAATGTATTCAAATTCCAAAAAGATTTATGCATACCTTATTTCGTGTTTATTGTATATAAAAAATTGTGGTAAATTTTCATCTATTTGGTGGAAATGTATAACAATTGTGTTGTTCTATGATTTATCTTGTTATTCTGAATAACTGAAATAAATCAGAAAATAAATATACATTTTATATGTAAATAACACAACACTAGGAGGAATACACGTTTGAACAATATTTATTTGATAAAAAGTGTTAAAAGATTTTTTTCCACGTTCGTCATTTAACAAATATCATATTGTGAATCAGAAATCAGAAAAAAAGTTATCTCAAATATCACTGAAAAAAATTCATGTTGAAACAGAGAGCAGCAAATTACAGTTTACCACTGTGATATTTAAAATAACAGTATTAATAAAGATTCATGCACCACCTTTCAGTATTATATACCTTTTTTTGACTGTAATCAGTATTACAGTCATCCTGTCCCTCAGTCTGCAGATTACATTACTGTTTTACTTTGCTGTGTTACGTAAAACATTAATTATCAGATACATGTACTAAAAGTCCAACCAAAAGGTAAGCCTAATCATTACAGTCATCCTGTTCCTCAATCTATGTATTACATTACTGTTATACTTTGCTGTGTTACGTAAAACTTTAATTATCATATACATGTACTACACATCCAATCACAAGACAAACCTAATCAATGTTTAACTACCAGAGAAGTGCTAATACATGTTTGAAAAAAAGTAATTACTTGTAAATTCCATCATCTTTGTGAAATGTTCTATGTCAGAGCTCAGTTTCAATACTGATTTTACTGACTATTTACTGAATTACTTTCAAACAGAATATTGTTGTAAAAAAATCTTTAGATAATCAATTGTGGAAAACTGTCCAACAAGTAATAAAAGTCAAAATCCTTAAATCTCTATAATTTGTGAAATGTTGAGGTGATACCCTTGTCAATACAATTGTTCAACAACAGTTTCTGAAACATTTTTATGCTAAGTAGAAACACATCACTGTAATCTATTTTGAAATCCATTTAAAGTATAAATGTTCACTTTTATCTATTTCATGCATCAGACTTGTCACTGGCACTCTTGTGCATTCAGACTATCCTATAACACATTGTTTCAAAAATTTTTTTTTTATATATATAAAAAACAAGAAGTAACACATCCATAAAAATGGTCCAGTATTAGTGGCTATACGAAGAATACAAAACAGCAAACTAAACATATATTAAATACCAAGTAAAAAAATAATTCTGGAAAAAAATTCTTAAATATGTTTATATTCATTAAGTACAATTAGTAAAACTTATGATTAAAGTTATCATTGTTAGAGTTCATATTGTTAAATATTGTATACATATAAAAACACTATTACAAAACATTTTGCTTTTTAATGTAACACATATCTTTGATGCTACAAGTATATTTATGAAATAACTGAAAGCATAATATTAACAAAAGTCATAATGCCTTTGAATGATACTCAAAATAAAAAAATTCTATTAAATATATTTAATTTACTTTCACTCTCAAGATTGGCTTTCTCCACACATTCTATTGTGCTCATCAGTAAGGTCTTCCTTAGGTTCAACTATTTCAAAATCATCATCTCCATTAATGTGATGAACACTGGAATCGTTCTCATTAAAATTTTGATTTTCTCCTTCTGATTCTGTGTTTTGTTGTTCTTTGGAATGTCTGTCATCATTCTTAGAGCCTGACCCAGCCTTTTCTTTTTCATTGCTACCCTTTGAATCTTCTATTTCTTGCTTTCTACCTTTATATTCATAATGATATAGTGGCCAGAATGATTCAAAAAATCCTACATCTTCAGTTAAATTAGGTAAAAGCCATAGATGATGTTTTCCAAATGTCAGCAACCAGATGATGATGAAAACAACCATACGTACTGCAGAGAAAAAGATATATCTTAACTTCAGTTTATCTAAATATCCATGTATTTAACTTTTAGAAGGACAAAAAAAAACATAATAGCCTAAGCTCCAAGTTCCTTAACATTTCACCTGTTTTACAAGACATCATGGTACACTTTACTTACATTTACGGGTAGACAAATAATAGTGATGATTCCTAATATAATATAATAATAATATACAAAATATTTTTAATTTCATCTTTGTACAGAATACAACCTCCCCATTTTGCATTATCATCTTTACAAAATGATGTTTCCCATCACTTCCAATAAGGATAACTAATATGGCTGAACTCAAAATTCTGTAGAGAAATGTAAATTATTAACCCAATACAGAGCATCAATGAACACAACATTAGTTTGTAAACATTAAGAATTCGAAATTTCCATTAAAGCATGCTACAATGAAACTCTGGCACAAAATTACTCATAAGTGATATGTATTTCTAAAAATAGTTTTAGGTATGCTACAACCTTTTACAGTGTTACAGTTAAAACTTAATCAAATAACTTTATTATCAAGATAGAACATTAAATTTGGCAAGAAAACATAGTTTATCATCAAATGTTTAAATTCTTACTTGAAAAACAAATATATAAATTTCAATCTGACCTACAATTTCTCCACTTCAGAATATTCTACTGACTGCTGCAATTCAAACTTCACAGTATTACAAGCAAGAATCTAAAATTTGAACCTCCTAGCTTGGTAGTTTCGATGACGAAACGATATTTTTTAAACACCTCGAAAAGTGAGTACTTTAAATGAAAATTAATTGTGCAATCCCATTTCTATGGAAAACTAAATAATGAAACAGTGCAACTTTAATGACAAATATATCACTTCGAATACTAAAAAAAAAGCTAATTTCTCTCAAGCTTCTGAAATATCAATAAATTTGTCAAACTCACCGAAGAACCTCTCCCATCTCTCTGTGACTTTCAAGATTGCAACTCAACTTTATGACTAATAGATGTTTATAACCAAAATAAAAAGCAAGATTCTCCCCCTATGTACTTTACAAGTCTGTATTCAGTTTACACGCCATAAGCTATTAGTTGACAAAAATTGCTTGGTTTGTGTTGATCAGAGTTACTGTTCCAAATTGGAACATAATTCTTTTTAACATATTTATAGCTTACTAAGAAAGCCAGACAAACTATAGTAGTTTGGGGTAATTCTACTATAGTGAACAATATATTTTGATATTTTAAAATTCATATTAAAGCTACATTAATTTTATTAAGAGACACAAACTTGTAAGAATTAACAAGGCCTAAGGAAGAATGTATAATTTTTTATACAAGTGCAAATGGCTCATGTATGCATTGTCTTTTATGATTGTTTTTAATTATGCACAAAGCTACACAAGGGCTATCTGTGCTCTGCCCACCACGGGTATCGAAACCTGGTTTCTAGCGTTGTAAGTCCCCAGACATACCGCTGAGCCACTGGGGGGCTGTCTTTATGTTTATTTTTAATTTATTGTTATAGAGAGAAAATACAGTTTTCACAAAAAAAAAATCAACTTTTGCCACTCACTTAGAAGGTTCTAGAGATTATATAAATTAAATATGAAGACTGCAAGATAAAAAAAAGTATTTTTATTCTTAGTATCAAAAAATCACCTTCCACTCAGACTGACTCAGTAAAGGCTTTGAAAATTTACAGACAAGTTTTTAACAGAAAGATTAACAAAAAAAGATTTTTTTTTTAGGTACAGAAACTTGTAATATTCACTAAAAGCCTGCCAAATGTTTGTGAAGATACATATAGTAAATCCAGAGTTATAGTTTGTATAGTTTCACAGTTCCAAGGTTGGTTAAATCCTTTCACACTTGCAAGGTAAAACATGTGTCTAAAATATGTTTCTAAAAATGTCATAAAGTTATGTTTGAGTTTCTCCTACAAGGGTAATAGTAAAGACAGAATAAACAGACTGCACAGGGGGGGGGGGGGGGGTTTGGTATTTTTTTTTTTTACATTGGACATATTGTTGAAAACGAATAAATTACACGAGATGCAATATCACCTTGCTTCTCAAACCAAAAACAGCTGACCTCCGACATCTTCAATCTATTTATGAAAGCAAGTTTTACAATCAGAAACATAAAATTCATCTTAGTTATCATTACTTAAATATTTCAAAGGAAAGGTTTAATTCTACTTACAAACTGCTAAAGCAATGATGAACACCAAGAATCCAGCAGCAGCAACACTTAAATAATAGACATAATGACGTACTATCCTAGGCCAAAGGGGAAAGAGGCAAAGGGCAATAGCTCCTAACACTGAAAGAAAACAAATTACATTATAATGAAAGACATCTTAGTTTTCATCTAGTTGATAATGACATCTACTGTTAGTTATCTGTCACAAATTAAACGTGTGAAAAGAAATATTGAAACAAAGATACAAAAAATAAGGTACAACTGAAACCAAAAGTCAATTTGAATAATTTACCCTCTCAAACAGAATACATATGTATGTATGTAAAATTTAGAACAACATTTTAACAATGTGTTAGATTTATGTCATAACATTAATCATTCTCAAATTTGTTGTTAATGAAATAATCAAATCTAGCACCTTAAATGTACATTCAAAACTTGTAAGCCTTTCTATTCCAAATGTTACTACTTCAATCACAATGCTTTTCTTGTTTCATATGCATTACAGTGCAAATACACATACAATTTACACTATTCTATCCTGTAAAACACCTCAAAAACTCTTTTATAGGTGTCTATAGTGTTTAAATAGCTTTCAATCACTAAATATAAGATAAACCTTCCTGAACCTACTGATCCTGTAGTAGATGTAGGAATTTTATATGGTTTTCTCATTAATTTTTATTATTTGTCACTTAAATTATATTTAACTAATTTTGCAAACATTCAAAATCCATATGTGTGTAGTTTTGCGTAGTTATGTGTAGAAGTAACAAACCTCTGATGTATGAGCTGCTAAACACTTATTTAAGGCCTTAACAATGCACTAAAGTCAAACATATATCTATGATACATCTATACATTCTTTAGGCATTAAATATACAAAGATGATGTAAACATGTTACAGCCTTATTTCAAACATGAAGTACACAAATAACCAAACTTCAAACTTACAATGACATCCATAACAGACTTGTGGTATATATGACGTACTGAAACACCAAAGCTCTATTGTTAGAGTGCACTTATAAACACAAACATCAGTATTGTACAGTACCATTGTACTGACAAGTCAAACAACAAAGGGTATCCAGCCATTCTTGAAATATAGCGATATCCATGACACAAAATACACACGGAAACATACACTATATACAACTGCTTCTGAAATATATAATATTTACCATTTTATGCATGCACATGTAATAGCTGTAACCTATAAATTGAGCATTTACGACATTACTTTGAAAGGTTAATGAAACACATTCCACTGCAAAGTGTCATTATATTAGGCTTTATGAAAAGACACAAAGCATTAAACAGGGATGGGAATATGTCAGGCGCTAAAAAAATTTGGAGTTTAACGACAAGCATAGCTGAGCCCACAATCAGCACCACAGTCTATTTAGAGGGGCAAAGTAGGAAAGTAAATGATTTTTACAGAAATCTAATTCATTTTAACTTAATATTTTTATATTCATGCAGAATTAATACTAATATTATTGCTTTCGTGTTGTGTAACTCCTATATTTGTGCACCAATAAAAGTGCAAAAAACACTAAGTTTCCACAAAAGAACATTTAAGCTATTCAAGGACATTATTCTTTAAGACAAGTCCCCAAGTTCCTATGTCACATTTTCCACCTTTCTGGTTCAAGCACCACTGACCACGGCCAACAGAACTTCTCCTTGCAACCTCTCTCAATCACTTTCACCTTGTGTGCATTTTAGTTACTGACCTTCAGCAATTATCATCAACATCTCTCACCCTGTGTGCATTTTAGTTACTGCCCTTCAGCAATCGTCATCAACATCTCTCACCTTGTTACTGCCCTTCAGCAATCGTCATCAACATCTCTCACCTTGTGTGCATTTTAGTTACTGACCTTCAGCAATTGTCATCAACATCTCTCACCTTGTGTG